GGCTTTGAAGTCCAAGGAGACAGGTAGGAGGAAGAGTGCTATTGGAGCCTGGGCCCAAAGCTCAGACACTCGGAAGGAACAGGCTCAGGGGGCTGTTGTGAAAAATCGAACAAGTTGAGAGATGAATTGGTGCTTTATAAACTGTAAAGTGCCTTTAAAGTCCAAAGTGCTACATAAACTGCAAAATACTCCACAGATGTAAGGGAGAATGATCACAATTATTTGAGGAGGAAAACATTATTCTGAATGTAGTCTGTGACCTGAGAATTAGATGGTAAGAAGGCTGTTTTAAACAAACAACAGAATTTGCCTGTTGAAATGTATCTTCTCTCTTTCAGAATCTTATTGATATAATCTTGATGGGGCTTGACATTTATTTCAAAGAGAAACTATTCAAAACCTATGAGACTCCTCCTCTGGGATTCATTTCCTTTGAAACCAGTTTACAAGCCACACACAAAAAAAATGATCTCACTAATTTATAGTCACCTTGTGTTTTGAAACTTACATGTTATCTGGTTTAATCATGAGAGCTGAGTACAAAATAATTTTAAGTGTTTTTTTAAAGTCAAAATTCAGTCTCTGAACAGTGATTCTTAATCATTTTGGGGATGTGTTGAGGACCTGCCAAAGCGCACAACGCATAGAACAGTTGGCGTGGGAATTTCTAGGTTCTAAGGCAAAGAACTCTGGATCTTCCAAGAGTTACGGAAGTTAAAGTCTGAGGGCTACACTCGTGGCAGCTCAGTTGCTAGCTTAATCGTGTCTGACTTTTTGAGCCACCGTGGACTGCAGCACGCCAGGCTCCCCCGTCCTTCACTGTCTCCTGGAGTTTGCTCAGACTCGTGTCCATCGAGTCAGGAAGGCTCTCTGAGGGTTACAGATCTGAGGGCCATTATTTTCTGAGCATAAGCAGCAGGTTTGTTGGAACAAATGTTCAGCCTCCCCAAAGGAGCTGGTTGAGGGAAACCACACCACTGTAGGGAGGATCATATGGTATGAGTGTCTAAAAATTAGTCCAAAAAAACCACAAACAAACAAACAAAAATTAGTCCATTAGAGTCATAGGGGGTCTATGCAGTCATTTCTGTAGCTGCAGTGGTTTCTGGCCTGTGTGTGTGTTTGTGTTCGTTACTAGCGGGATGTTTAGGCGGCAGCTTTTGCCTCCCCAGGTGTCTACCCTCAACTCAATTTCACCAACTCAACCCGGAAGAGCCACAGCCCTAGGAAGAGGCGTCGGATGGGCTGACAGTGCTCTTGAGCTCCAGCTGGTTACAGGAGAGGAAGAAAGGCAGGGCTGGCGTTTGTGTGGCTGTTCTCAAGGGAGTCCTGGCTGAAGCGGGGGGAGGTTGGAGCTTACGCTGCTCTTCTGTGAGATGGAGTGGATATCTTATGATTCTCTCACATGCTGACCAGTGACAGAAAGAGACTTCAGGTGAACTCCCTCATTTAACTCTTAACCTCCAAGAAACCAAGGCATGGAAAAGCTGACAAAAGTCAATTAGCTAACAACTAGCCAAGCAAGGATTTAAACTCAGATGTAAATTGAGAACTCCTTCCACTGCCCAACACTGACTCTTCCATTTCTTCCCAGCCCCTGGGAAATGCTCCCGGGGGAGCCCCACCCTCGCTAGACGCCCCTGGAAGTGAAAGAGACTCACTTATCTCAGCAAGGACAGTGTGTGTCCCGAGCGGCCGGCCCATCGGACATCTGGGACTCAGCCTCATTTGCTTCTATTACTAACTTCCTTCCTGACCTCGGCAAGCTCCATAAATTGTCTTGTGTTTTCTCATCTGTAAAATGAAGAGGATAGACCTAGATGAGACTTCCCGCTGAAACGCTCAGAGCCTGAATTCTGTGCGCTGCCCCTGTTCCCAGCGGCCTCCCAGCCCTGTGGGTTGCTCACGGCTCCCCGAGCGCCACCTCCTCTGACCGCCTGGCTAGGAGGAAGCGCCCCTCCAACCACATGTATGGCGGTTGTCCGAGTTACACTCCCTTGGCTCATGTTTTCCACTTCCCTTCCATATTTTCTCTGAATTCCTCAAACCTTTTTGCCTCTCTCCTATATAGTTCTCCAGTGTAAGAATAAACCAATTTATGTTTTAATTCCTTCACAGCAGGCAGACGGTTGTTTCCATTTTTTCACTAACAGTGCTGACACTAATATTCTTTAGCTTGCCTCCTTTGACTACATGTGCAAGAGATTCTCTAGAATGAATGTCCAGAAATGGCACTGCTGAGCCAGGGGGTTTATGGATTAGGTATTGCCAAATGGTTCCTCAAAGTGCTGGTGCCAACATATGTTCCCGCTTGCAATATGCTTGTTTCTCACATCCTCACCAATGCTCTCAAGCTCAAGAGTCTTCCAAACTAACATTCTGACTGCCTTAGCCTCATGGCACTTACTGTTCTCCACTTTATATTTGTTTATATGCTACCTCCCCTCCTGGGCTATAACTTTTGTGAGGGCAGAAGCCTTGCTTAACTCAAAGAATTCATTGAGCTTAGTAAGGACACAATAAAGGGTTGTGAACAAATAAATGGTGAACAGAACCAAATTTGTCTTGACCCAAGGAGGTGGAGATTCCATGAGGGGAGGGATGAAGCATCTATCGCTGTTCATCTGGGGTGAGGATGTGGGTAGGGAATCCCCATCAGCTGCGGAGAAGGTGGCACAGTGGTCAGAGCTGGCTGACAAACCAAAGGTTTCAACATCTATGGAGGACTGTCTCCAACCTTTGGAGATGCAAGCTGTAGATAATTTTTTATCATGGTATTCATTAAATATTTACTGATTGCTGAGAGTAGCAAATTTCCCATTCTCTGGGTTTATCTTTTTATACATCAAGATTGCTGTTTCTGAATGGAACTCCCCCACCTTTGGCCCCACCCCGTTACCAAGGGCTGGATAGGATCCATGTGTCCTTTGGACTAGGAAGCTGTGTGACCTCTGGTAAATGCCTCCCCCTTCTGACACCCCAGCAGTTCCAGGCTGACTCATTTTCTAAATAAGCCACTTGTGGCTTTTGCTCTGACATCACATGTGGAAGAATGAGTAATTTTTTAAGAACCAGAGTTATATTTGATCAGAATAAGATGCATTGTGTATGTTACTCATGGTTCTAGGACAAGGGGTCAACACTGGTTACAAGTACCCTAACCTTCTCCCACCCCTCCTTTCCCTGGGGCCAAGGGACAGACGGAAGGCAAAGGAAGGAGGCAGGTATGGATGTGAAGAATTTTTGTGTACATTTCTAATTTTGTTATCACATTATGTACAGTTCAATAAAACTGTACCTCGTGGCTTCTGCTAGATTAAATAAAAATAATGTCACAAAGTACGCAAGGCCATGGGGCTCTGCTCCTTGGGTTCAAAGCCCAGCTCCACCACAGACCAGCTGGGTGACCTTGGGCAAGTTATTGACTCTTGATTTGCTTCTGTTTCCTCATCTGTAAAACAATAATAGCATCTATCACATTGCATGGAACAAATGAATTGATATATGTTGAGTGCTTAGGATTGTGCCCAGAACTTAGCAGTCACTGTGGATATATTAGTAAATATTTCCTTGAATCCATCACAGTGTTTAGGCTCAAAAGAAATGCTCAATAAATACTTTTTAATGAAACAAATTCATTGTATTAAAACACATTTGGAACAGGGGATGGGGATAGAAGTGACAGCAAGTAGGAGACTCTTGGTTGGAAATGGAAGCAACCATGAAGTTCAATTCCCTTGAGCTCAGGTCTTGCCCTCCCACCCTCCTTTGGTTTGTTTTGTTTGCTATCTGCACCCGGGTTATGTGCATTGCGGTGGGAGAAGGGCTGTCCCCCAGGCGTCACTGAGTGGAGGTTCTACGTGCTGTTTTTTAAATGTAAGAAGTCGGCAGAAGGACGTCAAGGTTAAGATTCTGAACTTCCTCTGCAGGGGGTGCAGGTTCAATCCCTGGTCAAGGAACTAAGATCCCACGTGTAGTGTAGCACAACCAAAAAAAAAAATTTTTTTTAATTAAATACACAAATGTGCATGTTAGTAGATCAGCTGTGACCCCATGGACTATAGCCCACCAGGCTCCTCTGTCCCCATGGGATTTCCCAGGCAAGAACACTGGAGTAAGTAGCCATTCCCATCTCCAGGGGATCTTCCCCACACAGGGATCAAACCCAGGTTTCCTGCATTGCAGACAGATTCTTTACTGTCTGAGTTGCCAGGGAAGCCCCGGCAAACAAACAGATTTTAAAAAAAGAAAGAAGAGGCACAGTTCTAGATCCTTGAACCCTGGGAGCCTGGGCTTAGTTCGGAGGGAGACCCAGGCACCTGACGACTTCATCCTTGGACCTCTCAGCACCTACTGTTTAGAGAAGGCGCTGAGAAGTTAGCAAGGCCGCAGCGTCAGGACGGGTGTTATCTGGTTGAGTGGTTGGTGGGGTGAGCATTGTGTAGAGGACATTATTTAGGTAAGATGCTGGGATCAGGGTAGACGCCGTGTGCATCCTCACAGCACTTGTGGTCGGGGGAGCACACTCCTGAGCACCCAGGAGTCCTGAGGAAGCCAGACTTCTTCAGGATGCTGGGGGCTGGAGGACCCCGTTCACCAGAGCGGGTCTGTTCTGCCTCATCGGCACCTCCGTGTGTGCTGGAGCTGAGGAAACGGATGGCCTGACAAGTGGCTCGGACTGGCCGCTACAGAAGCAAGGGGACCAAGCTTATTGTTGACAGGAAGGGTCTACATTCCGTACAACTGGTGGGGCGGCCGAGTTACTGAAGGAGGTCCAGCCGTCCTGGAGGACGAGGTTCGCCCCGGCCGATGTAAGGAAGTGCGTCCTAGGGAGCGCCTGAGGGACAGTCGTGTCCTCAACCACGTGCAGAGACAGTCACATACGCACTGAAAGCTTCACCCTTTCTCTGCCCTCCACTCACGCACACTCGCGCGCGGGCCTCACCAACGCTGTCTCGGTCAACAGGGTGGCCTAGGGAAGACCTCAGGGCTGAATCAAATGCTGGTGAATACTGCTGCTTTTATTACACCTCAAGGCTTAACATTTATTTGGAGAGGACACAAAACTTGGCGAACTGGCATGCATTCTCTACAGCACGGCTTCAGAGGAGCTCAAGGCCACCCCGGTCCGCCCAGGAGGACCCTGCCGGCGGGGGCGGCGATGGCGGGGGCGCGGGGGGACCGCAGGTCCTTCATCACTGGAGTCAGCAGACCACAGGTGTTCCACCACCACAGAAGTCGAAGAACCACGTGTGTTGGCCAGGGGTGTTTCCAACAGCTAAACAGGTGTGACAAGGGATCCAGGTGTGGGTGAGTCCCTAACACGTACAGCCTAGAACATTTTGGGGAGGGTAAGAATATTCTCCTCCCCAAGTGGGCAGCACTGGCTACAGTGGGAGAAGGGCATGCTTAGCACTGCATCTGAGCTTGGTGAAGGGCACCCTGGTTTCACAAGGGAGAGTAAGACATGGCGGCGCTATCACAGTAAGGCCACTAAAGTCACAGCGAACGGGGACCTCGGAGGAAACTCTCACGACTACAGGAAAGGGGCTCGACCCTCTCTGACGCCAGGTGCCCGTTGCTGGCTGGGCACCTTGCCCTGAGACCTTCACCTGGTTCCTTTGCTGAGCTGTACCGCGTCACTGAGCACAACAGAGCGGAGGAGGGGGCCACGCACGTCAAGGGCACGGGACATCACCACCCCGCGTGGCTGACGGCTGCTGGCGAGTGTCTTGGACGCCTTTCCCGGTTGGGCCGGGGGCCCCCTGTGTGTCTGCAGACCTAATCTGAAAAGAGGCTGGCAAAGGACTTCCTCAAGCTCCGGATGGTCTCTGCTTTGGCTTCATCCTCACTGGCTGAAGAGCGGAAGAAGGAGGACTCAGAGAAGCTGAAGGCATTGGTCAGGGACTGCGACTTGCTTGAAGAAGATAAAAACCAGAGAGAATGTGAGATGGTGCTGTTCCAGGCGAGGAAGGGAGGGACGGTGACACGGGGACATGACACCCGGAGCGCGCGCTCCCGCCCCAGGGAGACCGGGTGTCAGAGGAGAGAGCCCGCGTGGGGAGGGCTCCCAGCGCTGGGCGGTCCCCACCTCCTCTTCCCCTGCAGCGCTGCTGGAGCAGGAAAGGACGGGGCCTCGGGGGAGGCAGGGAGAAGAGGGGGGCTCGAGGCCCCTTCTTCTCCTTAACACTGAAGCACCAACTGGGTGGGCACCAACCCAGGAACCTCACGCCCTCGCCCTCTCTCGGGTGAAAGGCAGGAACGGGGGCCAGGGGACTCCCTCTCCCACTGCCACCGAGAGTGAGTGGAGCCGGTGTCGGAAGACCTGGTCAGAGTCGTGGTTCCAGCCCTCACCCACTCTTGACCCTGGGAAGCCACGTGCCTCTCCTGCTTTCTTAATTGTGTTCTGATGATGTCTAGCAATATTTATCTCTGGGCCTTTTCAGCTCTTCCTACTTTGCTTTTCTTTCTCTGATTCCTAAAGGACCTCTGGACTTCACACAAACTCTATCGGCTCCATGGACCGCCCTTCCAGTGGACATAATGGCCCTCACAGGCTTCCCCGGGGGAGAGCTGTGAGGTTCAGGGCGTCCAGGGGCCACAGAACTAGATATTCGGCCCACACGAGGTTACTGGATAGTCTTCTCAGGGAAAAAAAAGCCCAAATTGCACACATTTTAGGGACCAATTTTCCCCCGAGACACTACTGATTCAGAGAGAAAGGCTGTGAAGGCCACAAGGTAGAGGGGAGGCCAGGCCCAGCACTTAGGAGGGGACACGTGGTCTGGTGTCCCGTGGCCATCTGCTCTCCTTCCTGACTTCAGCTTGTCTCTTTCCTGCTCACCTCTGCCTCTAGAACTCCTCTCCCGGCGTCTCAGCGCTCCCAGCCCTCCCCCGAACTCGGGTGCTGCCCCAGAAACCCCCTTCTACACAAGTGTGAGCCCATCTCTTCTCCCGTGGTGACTGGACGGGTGCCCTGCCTTTCACTGGGCGGGGATGAGCCCCAACATGCCAGCTGCTGGCAGCAGGGACTCCTCTGCACGCACGGGCCGAGGGCACCGGGACCAGCCTCCCACTTGTCTGGCTCAGCCCAGGGGCAGTGACAAACCCAGAGATCTGCCCTCAGACTGGGGCCGGAGTCAGCTCAAGAGGAGGAGGGAGAGATTAAAAAGCCCACAAACAGAACACGACTAGGTTGAAGGGAGGCTGTGAGGCAGGCGAGATGTGGAAAGTGCCTGTGTCCAGGGCTGGGGAGCTGGACTGGGGAATGGCCCGCCCATCGTACAGGGCTGAAAGACTCAGAGGGAGCAGTCATCGACCACCAGAGCCCTCACCGGGCTCTGTCACTGATGAGCACAAGGGCCTCAACAAAGAAACGCAGAGCTCTGAGCAGGGTTTTCCTGTCTCCGTGCTGACTAGACTGTCTCTGAGTAGCTCATCGGAGCCCCAGACTCTGTAGCCCCTATCCTCCGTCCCCGAGAGTCTCATCTCTTAACTGAGATGCACTCACGGACCGCCTCCACTCCCCGGGGCGGTGGGGTCTGAGCTTACAGTGATGACAGAGATCTGTGTCTGGGCTGTTGGAGAGACACACCCTGGGTCTAGGGGAGGTGGGGCTGAGCCCTCTGGTGCTCCCCTTCCCATAAGCAGCTGCACTGCCTCCCAGGGGCCCCCGCTCTGTCTTCTGAGGCCGGACAGTGCGGTGGAAGTCTCTGGGGCCACTGCTGGGAGCGAGGGAGCCCAAGAGGGCGCAGCCCCTCAAGGTCTGTGCCTAGGCCTCTCCTTTGATGGCCGCGCCAGAGACCAACCTCCTTCTGACCGGGCTGAAGGTGAAAAGCTGAGATGGATCTAACTACTTCCCCCTTTCCTTCTGGGCACCTTGCTGCTTGACATTCCCTGAACTGTGAGTCAGAGGCAGAAAAGGGAACTTTTTTTTTTAAGAAGAGAGAGACACACACACACACAGAGAAAAGGAATGGAAAAAAAGAGTGGGAAAGAGGATTAAAAAAAACAAACCAACCCAAAATGCAAACCCTAAGTTAGTACCAGAATGGGAGAGGGGTAGTAACTGACTGAATTGTCTGTCACTCCCCAGGAAGAAAGGGGAGGGTTTGGGTTTCTAGCTAGACCTTAGACTTTCACTTCCCTCTTTCTTACCCTCCCCAGCCAACCCGACCATGCCCCCCGCCAAAAAAACAAAACAAAACAAAAAAACCAAACAAAAAAAAAACCCCACCGAAACCCAAACCCCCAAAAACCCCCACAAAAGTGTCTGTGGGAGGAGGTCTGACTGAAGGTGCTTCCTAGCAGCTCTGGAGCCCCAGGAAGAGGGGAGGCGGGGAGCGGCTGAGCTGTCTCTTACTTGAGCTGTGGGTGAGGCTGGGGCTTCTGCGGTGGAGCGGCCGGGGGTGGCTGGGCCTCTGCCAGGGAGCTGCCGCTGGAGGGTGCATCTCCGTGGGTGGTGGGGCCGCCCGGCCGCGGAGGAGCCGAGGAGGAGGAAGAAGAGGAGGAAGAGGAGCAAGAGGAAGGTGGCACTGATGGTCCCGGGGGGAGCCGGCGTGGAGGCAGCACCTTGCCTGGGGGTTGCATTCCTTGGGGTTGCCCAGGGCCCCCTAGGTTCAGTACAAGAAAAACTTCATAATTTAACCATATCAAAGGGTTTCCTTATTAGAATTTAAATCTCGAAGGGTGTGGTTATTTCATTACCAGAGGATAAACTCTGTCACAAGAAGCAAGTCCCTGGTTACCCCAAGGATACGGCTCTACATGCGCCTCCTCAGACTCACGACAACGCGGGCACAGCGGAAGTGGGAGCACAGGGCAGAAAGCAGGGGGTGAGCAGCCCCTTCGGGGGTGAGCTCTGCTACAGAATGCCCCCAGACCACACACTGGGACCACCCCTCTCCCCCAGAGCTCCCTCAGGTGCGGGCCAACCTGGCCCATGGGGCACCAGGAGGGCCATGTTCCACACGGCACACACAGCGTGGAAAGAGTGGTGGAAAGAGTCCTGGCCTGGGGGTCAGAAACCCCGGACACTGTCTATCAGCGGGTCCCTGAGCAAGTCAGCTGACTTCTCTGGACTTCAGTGTTTCCAACCAGAAAACTGTGAACAATTAAGACCCAGTCTTACTTATCTTTCAAGAGGGTAGTGTATCAAAGATGACAATGGACAAGAACGTTCTTCAGAAAGTGTTCTGTGCTTTACAACCATCACTGACTTACACTGTGTCTTTTTAGAGTTGGCCTTAGTCCCAACCCACTCCATGCCTGGGTGCCTGGTTGCCACAACCCCAAACAGGGCTTTGTTTTAGCGTTAACTCACACCCATGACTAGGACCTTCCATGTCTAGGCAATTCTTCTGCCTCTTAGTACCATCCTTAGGGGTTCCTGTCCCTCCCAGGTGTATGTGGTGAAATTCTCCAAAAATCAAGTCCCATTCTCTCCTGGAGATGTTGTGGGCACCATTTGGCAAAGAAGTGCACCCCGCCCCCCCACCCAGAAAAGGACCAAGATCCCCTTTCTCCCAGAATGAGACAGAAAACAGTCTGGCAACCTGGAGATCTCATTTCTTAGTCTCAGTCCCAGAGTACCTATTCATGTGCCCGCTGGAAGGAGTGAGCTTACAGAAAATGGATGGCTAAGACTTGTAACTTAGTTTTCTAGAAATACAGGGACACCTGCGGCCTCAGGAGAGGCAGAACCATACATCTATACCACTGTACATCCATGATTGTAAGCTGGTTTCCCCTCTACATGGTACGGATTCCACTTTATCATCAACGACCAATTCATACCAGGGTTAGTTACACATATATAAGCTACTGTAAATAAATAAATGGAATTTTGCACATTGAAGAAGCTCTAGGTTCAAATCAGATAACTAGTAAAGATGACAGATTAGCAGATCATTTCACGTGAACCCGTTTACGCCTTTTCCAAAGCTTGGCATCGTTTGTATCAGCATTTTCTTGTCAAGTACCACAGGTTGAGAGCTCAGTCTCTCGGACCAGACACCTGAGAGCTTTCCCGCCTGTACAAAGATGCTTGAACAGCCAGAAACTACAACTTAACACTGAAGACAGATAAAACTTTTCCTTTATTGCACATTAAGCTGTACAAGAGTCACAAAAGAGAGGTACCCCGATCACACTCGCAGCGCCAGATGAGGCTCTCCCAGCCGGGTCGGTGCAAAGGGGGACAGCATCCAGCAAAGAGGCGGGCGCAAAACACCTCAACGGCACTCTGTCACTGTGGTACGGATGCCTCAGGCCGCAGAGCTGTCCTTAGCATGCTGCCCGAGGGCGCAGGACAGTCAGGGTGTACAGTCAGCTCTGCCTGACAGTGGGAGGGAGCCCTAGTTCTCCTCTCTCCCACCCGACAAGACTGTGGCCAACACTGCCCTGCAGCCCGACTGAATTCAAACGGCAACTGTGTGTTTGTGGCTCACGAATGTCACATGAAAAGCACCTGGATGTTCACACTGATCACATGCAAAGAAGCAACACCATCATCAGCTCACTGCTTGGACAAAAACAAAATTAAAAAAATAAAATGTATTCCTCCGTTCTGGGAAAATGTCTCTTGACTCCTTTCTATCATTTCGTCAGATTGGGAGGTATTTTAAGGACCTGATTCTCTAGGCAACCCGCCTGGGCGTGCAGAACTGCATGTAATTCACGTGTCTATTTACAGCACACACTACTGTCAGCATCCACATCAGCTCAGGGCGGAATCGCAGCCGAGAACATTCACACTCAGTGCATTTCCTTGCAGCTCAGACTCTGCCCGTAGCCAAGACAGGAAGCAGGGCTCGAAGCCCTGGACGCAGGAATCATGTTACACACCACCGTCACCAGCGAGTCCTCAGGCCTGGCTATCCAGAAAGGTGACGTGTCGTGACAGCAGTTGGGGGGGGGGGTGCGAAAGCAGAGCTCAAAGCACTTCTAAAACGTGAAACCCCTCAGCCCACGGCCCTAGAGGGGGCCGCTTGGTGCCTCATCCCGGCCTGGCCAGGAGACGGCAAGAGGGGGCACTGACCCGAGGCCTTGTGAGGGAACTGCCTCCTCCCTGCGCAGGAGGTGCGTGTTGGAGGAGAGAGGACGAGATGGCGGAGGGCTCTCCTAGAGCCCCAGCCCCAGACACACACGGGCTAAAATCTGAGACAGTCAGTTTCTGGACTCAGGAGGGCTCCTGCAACAGCTGAAAACTAAAGCAGGCGCCCACCTCAGAGTTCAGAGGGCAGTGTACCCGCTCGTGGGAAACAGGACAGTTCCGATTCGTTCGCATGTTGCCATGCCTTGAGAGAGGCCAAAGGCAGTGCAATCGAGTCCTTCCCAGACTTACAGCAGCTCCCAAATCGCTAAGCAATCACCTCTGTACACGGGTCAAGCTTTGGGGAAAACGAAGCAGCCTCGGTTCCACAGAAGCGCACAGATGGCCAATTCAGAAACAATTTGGGGGGACTGAGATGAACACAGAAAAAAAACTCACAAAGTCATTTTGATATTGCACATCAGCGGCCCCGTTTGTTTTTTGTCTAATCTCATAGCTAATTAGTTAATACTAAAACGAAAGGTACACTGGGATGTCGAATACAGAACACATTCCTGGAGATAAGCTTGTTCTTTATAGTTTATGTCATCACTAGGAAACACAAGAGCTCCACGGACACAGTCAGCCTATTCACAGAAACTCAAATGCACCAAAGTTTAGCAAATGGAGAAAAAGAGAGACGCCTTCGGATTCAACGGATGAAGCGATGGGAATGAGACCTTGGAAATCTCTTAAACTTCTAGCTATTTACCCGAGTCATGCAGAATGGAAGCAAAAAGCACTGCAGATCCCAAGCTCACTCATGGAGGTAAGCAGGGGGTAGGGCGAGGGGGGCGGTTTATCTGAGTCTGGGGGGAGAAGGAGGGGAGTCAGGTTTGATCTTGTGGTCTCTGTTTCTCCCCTGTCCACCCCACCCCACCCCCAGTCCTACTGCGCCCCGCACTGTGCAATACTTAAAAAAGAAAATACTATCAAACCACCCAGAGGATAGTCGCACTGAACTTGGGAGAGGCACAATTCTTTTGTACACTGTTGACAAACAGCCCTGGATTCACAAATTATACAGAGAAACGTTAAGTGAGCGTTACAAGCACGAACAGGTGAACAACCAGACAGAGGCGCTGACACTGCATAGGAAGAACAGAGTCCAGTCAGCATTGAAAGAACGCAGAAACGGCACCAGTGGGAGGGTCTGCTGCGTCCCTCCCCGCTTTCCTTTCTTTCCTTGTTTGTTTTTGGCTTAAAATGTCTGCTTTGAAAAAAATTAACTACCCATCGCTTTAAGAAGCTTGGACCTGTTTGGGCCCTACTGCAATGCCATTACAGTCGAGAATATACTGTAAACAACCTTGGGGGGCTGGCCGCTGAGGCGGGGTCTTGCTCGAGTCCGGATCCTTAAGTGCTCCACTCTGGAAGACAAAAATGCAAAAGAGATAAAAAACGAAACTCCAGGCAGATTCCCAAGAGAAACCCTGTGGCTCTGTGGCGGGGCTGCAGTGGGATCCACTGGGATCTGGCCCAAGGGCTTCAGCTGTTCTGCAAACACCTCAAGGGGGTTCTCAGCCTCTGGGGTATTGCTGGGACCTAAGAGAAGGCAATCTGGGGCTGAGAACCACTCTGGCAGGCAGTATCTGAAACCCTTACCCCCTTTTCCTTTCCCTTCCTTCTAGACCCTTTCTAGAAACTTCCAAGAGCATCTGGCTTCTTCTCTGGGGGCTGCCTGAGGGCCAGCTACCCTGGGACTCACAGGCCGACTTCTGGGGGAAGGATCAGCCCTAGCGCCAGCGGGGGCTGGGCCAGGTGACAGGCTTAAGCCTTGGCGCTAACTCCTGCAGAGCTGGCTGACTCAGGGGTCAGAGCCACTCTCTGGGCTGGGCTGGAACTCCCGCGGGGAGGGACCTGAAGGAGGGGGGCCATCTTTTGTTTCCCAGGACCCTCCTTACCCAGAGGGAAGGAGTAAGACCTTAATGTTTGTAAAAGTGCTCAAGGCCAAGCTGTTTTTCCCTCTCTAACAGCATAATTGCATTTTATCCAGCACCGTGGCTCCACTCCCAGGCTTCCTCTCCTCCCAGCTGTGATTCTGATTATGCCCCGACAGGAGCAGAGACGCCTGTGACTTCAGTTCATCTACCCTTTGCACTGAAGGCAGGGAGCATGTGGAGCCTGAATTCAGCTCAGGGGAGATGCTCCACGAGGCGGGGGCTGCCAAGTGTGTGGACCGTGATGTCACAGCGGGAGCTTCTGAGGCGAGGCCGGGAGAGGCCCTGCAAGTCCTCAGCACCCCCACTTCCTCTTTCAGTGCTGCTCTCCCTTGTGACAGGGCCCCCCCCCCAGCCCTACTCCCACATTAAAACTGTTCCCCATTCCCATGGGCCCCTGATCTGGCCTTCTATCTGCCTTCCTGCTGCTGCAGGCCTGTTTTCAGCTCCACTGCTGGGAGAGCAAAAGGGCCACTCTTGCCAGGGTCACGGTCTTTCAATGACAGCATTGCCTACAGCTGTTCTACCAAGAGGATTTCAGGCAGGAGAAGGCAGGGGGGGCCTCTGAAATGTCTTTGGTGCCACTGCACCAGAGGGTGCCCATTCTGTCCACAATCCCGACCTCTTACAGATCACAGCAAGAACGCCCACACTTCCCGTCCCCTTCTTGCATGGGACCTTCTAGGGGGGTCTCACCCCTGACCCTGAAATCCCGAAGCCACTTGAGGCCACACCTTCCAGTCAGCCATCAAGACCCACCAGGCTCTCCGTCTTGGCATCCAAGATTCACTATTTCCTCCTGACCAACTCTGGTCAGGCCTGTATCATTTCTTGTTTAGACTACTAGAATAGTCTCTCAATTCTTTAGTCTCCTTTCCAATCCATCTTCTGGATACCTATTACCCTCCTAAACTCTTTCTCTAATTGTATCACTTTACTGCTCTAAATGGGCTTCCCTTGTGGCTCAGATGATAAAGAATCCTCCTGCAATGCAGAAGACCTGGGTTCTATCCCTGGGTCAGGAAGATCCCCTAGAAAAAGAAATGGCTACCCACTCCGGTATTCTCGCCTGGAGAACTCCCTGGACAGAGGAGCCCGGCGGGCTACAGTCCACGGGGTCGCAAAGAGTCAGACACAACTGAGCAAGTAACATTTTCACTGCTCTAAATAATTTACAGCTAAAACACTATACATGTGCCAGGCAACACGATGGACAATTTTATGCAGTATTTCCCTTAAGCCTCACAGCAGCTCTCTGAGGTATCAACATCCCTAATTTTTAGATAAGGAAGCTGAGGCCCAGCTAAGTCAGGTAATACAGAGGCAGCTGGCACGCGAGCCCAGGCAGTCTAACCTCCTCTTCCCGTCGCCCACAGGATGACGTCTGCATTCTTCAGGATGATGCCAGAAACTTGCTTTAGCATGGCTGGACAGGCCCCCTGGGCCTCTGTCCCTCATGTTCTAAACGTGCCTGCTCCTTCCAGCCTGACCCTTCACTGCTTGTTCTCTAGTCTAGGCCACTCTAGCTTTTATGATAAGTACCCTCCAGAAATACCTTCTCTCCTTTTCAACCAATCCAATCCCACACATCCTGAAGGTCTGAGTCAAATTATACCTCATTTGTGAAATCTCTCTTCTGATTGCCCCTTTTGATTGTGGTCTCCCCTCTGAAATCCTATAACAGCACTTAATAGACTGTCTTGTTATCATCTTGAAGACTGGGATGATGTTTCTATCGCCAGATCTTTGACAGCAAGGACAGTGAGTCTTCACCTTCTCATGAATTCCTAACAATTACAGTGCCCATTTTTTCCAAAGAAAAACTGGGATATATGGCCTGATGTGGTAACTATTTATTTAAAAGGTAAAATAGTTAAGATTGGGACTATTTTGGAAATGAAGACTGCCGTCATTCTACCAATGTCACCAGGCACAGGACTGAGCACATAAGAGGTCCTTACTGACTGCTTATTAGATAAACAGCCGTGCGGCAACAGTAAAGTCCAAAATGAAGTAGGGTGTGAGCCTTTCAAGAGAAAGACGTCGTTAAACCATAGATGTCAAACCACCCCATATCTGGGACCAACTTGGATGAACAGCTCTGAAAATGCTCAGGTTAGAGAATTAGAAAATGAGGCCTCCAACCTGGGCCTGCCCGCTCGGTGCATAAGGGAAATTCAAAACCATCCTCACAGAAGCAGAAATGGTTTCCATCAAGACTGTATAATCCAGTCAAGTTAGTGACACTTCAGGCCCCAGAGTTCCTTCCCATCGTGAGCTCTTCCTTCCCCTGGCCTGGCTGCCAACTGGAAGAGGAGAGTATAGGATGGTGTGTGGTAATGGGCACACAGGACACCAGGGCTGCTTTTTCAGCCGAATGGCCTATCAACTCTGCTGCCCAACACACACACGCACACATGTACACACACACACACACTCCATTGGGTCTCCAACAGTTAGTCTTTAAGACTGGGCAGCAGAGTGGAATTTGGGCCTGGGGGTTAGGAAGATGGGTTTAAATCTAAATCTCCCACTTACTAGCTTTGTGACCTTGGGCAAATTATTTTCCCCCTCTGCACCTTTCTTCAAATGGTTTCCATGATATAAAGGGATATTATCCACCTATCTATCTACTACCTATACATCTATCTATTGAGATATCTACAAGTACCTGTCCCTGGCAGGTCCTATATAAGACACTACAGATGATGGTAATAGTGAGACCAATGGGTCCTTCCTTCTGAAGCTCTGTCATCTCTCAGGTCTCACTCTCATCATGGAATACCCCCTTCGGTGTGCTCCTGTTCCTGGGCTTCGGGGAACTCGACTCAGCTGTGATGGTACAGTCTCCTCTGAGCTCCCTGACATGCCCCTGGTGTCACAGTCTCACTGCCTGAGATGGAGTGTTGTTCTTCAGTCACTCAGTTGTGTCCGACTCTGCGACCCCTGGACTGCAGTGCGCCAGGTTTCCCTGTCCTTCACCATCTCCCGGAGTTTGCTCAAACTCATGTCCATTGAGTTGGTGATGCCATCCAACCATCTTGTCCTCTGTCATTCCCTTCTTCTCCTGCCTTCGATCTTTCCCAGCCTGAGATGGATACTCAGGTGAAAGACAGAGAAACTCCTGCAGTTTGTGGAGCCACCAGACTGGCTCTTGCTGGTCCCCTCCCTCAGGGCCTCACCTTGTTCCCCTGACAGCTGCCCGTGAGACACCTCAGACTCTGCGCAGAGCAGCTTAAGACGCTCTCCTCCCAGAGAAGTGCTATTTTCAGAGCAGGTTATGGAAGACCACACGGCACAAGGGCAGAACCAGGGCCCATGGGCAAAAGCTCTGAAAGGCAGACTGTCAGCGGCAGGGAGGACTTCCTATTGCAAAAACAGTGGAAGGGGCATCTTGGGAGGGTGGGTGTGTTCATGCAGAGGCTAGAGAATTACCTGACAGAGATACAGTAGGGAGTACACCTCTATGAAATACGAGACAGGTTAGATGAACACTATGCTTCACCTTCCAACTCTGAGAACATATGATTCCAGGAAAAACAAAAACTCCCAGAGATTAGATTAAGCTCTGATGGTAAAACTCACAGCATGAGCTGCTAGGGGTTAGGGTTTCACCACGAAGCCTGGCTCTGCCTCTCCTCTCTGTAGCCTCAGAATTATATGACTGAGACCCCCAACGGTGACCTGAACCCACAAGTTCCCTTCCAAAGGCTGCAGAGGAAGAACTCCCAGGAGCTGTCCTTCACACTGGAGCCTGGGAATGTGCCTGGGCCACCCTTGTCTGGCGCCTTGGGAGCTTCTCTGGCCCCCGCCCCCTGGAGCTTGTGGACTGAAGACTTCCCAGGGGTGGCGGGAGCGGGGAGGAGAGTCCCCCAGGACCGGCCCTTGCCAGGCTGAGACTCTCTGGCCCCACCCACAAGGCTTCTGTCTGCCGGGGCTGAGGGCCTGCTCCCTGTGGGGTTTGGCTACCATGGAATCTGTCTCCAGTCACCAAGAGCCGCCTGGGATGCCGAATTCCACAGAAGTCTGGCCACTCTGGCGTCACTGCCAAAGCCTGGCCCGTGGCCAGCCCACAGCAGGAACCCGGGGCCAGACTGAGCAGCAGCGTTTCCCTCAGGAAACTGGGTTGACTCAAACAGGTAAGAATGCGAGGTCCAGGGCTCGTGCCCAGCTGCACACAGAGGAGGAGGACAGATGGCCTTGCAGCAGCATAAGGAAAAGCCCCAAACTAGCCCGGGCTTACGGAATGACAAGAAGCTCAGAGGGTGTCAGTGGGCAATGCTGCGGCTGGAGGCGCATCAGTGTCCCAACAAGGGGAGGTCACCGGTGCACTGCTCTTTGGACGGATAAGCCTCATGACAGAGCAGTGATCACCAGGTCTGCGTGCCTCTTTTAAAGGTGGACACCAGCGCAATAAAATGGGTACGCGG